ATATATATATATATAATATATATATATAATATATTATATATATATATATATATACACATATATATATATATATAAGTATATATATATATAAATATATATATATATATATATATATAAATATATACATATATATATACTTCCGTAGTGAATCTACATTGATATACACATACTCATATATCCAGGTAGGCGTAGAGTATTTCCCAGAATTAACTACCTGACCGTACTTACTGTTTGTAGGATCAACCAGCACATCCCCGAGTGCAGCTAGGCACAGGAAGGGCCCGTCCACACACTCCGTCACATGCAGCCCGCACGGTGTCAGTTGGTCCGCTGAGATGGCTCTGATGGGTTCACTGCCGTGCGTGGTTTCAGTGTCAGTGTCAGTCTTGTCACCGCTGACACTGACAGGTAGGTATCCGGGCGTGTCGCCACACGCGTACCCGTGTTTTGATTGGTCGCCGTTGGGGCCGTCCCTTCTTCCCATCTGGCTCCGGTCTATGTCCCCGCATTCCGAGCCCGAGTGGTCCTGTGCATGACTCATATTTGTGGCATTCTCCTGCGGTCTCGTCTCCACCCCGTTTTTCAACGGGCCCTTTTGCCCTCGCCCCGTACCGGTGCCCGTTGTCCCAGCCGGACTCTCCCTCATCCCATTGGCTGTCCCCATTCTACCTACATTCCCACGCACACGTGCATGACTCACCCCTCCTGCCGGCCTCTGCATAGCCCGACCGTGCTCCACTCTCTCCTCCCCACCCGCCCCACGTGTGCGTGTGCGTATGCTTTGTTCGCCCGTGCCATCCGCAGGCGTTGTGCCACTGCCCTTGCGTGTGCCTGTCCCCTTGTCCTCTCTCGCGTCCTTGTCCTTGTCACGATGGCGCTCGCGTTTGCTGCGCTTCTCTTTCTCCTTGTCCTTGCCTGTCTTGGTCTTATGCTTTTTCTCCCGTCCGTCTACCTTCCTCACCTTACCCTCACGCGGCTGTGTGGCCTGTGTGTCCTTCCCCCTACGAGCCCTAGTGGGGTCTGTCTGAGTGCCTGCTGGTGCGGGTGGCTGCGTATATATGTGTGTGTGTGCGTGGGTGCGGATAGGAGAGAGGGCGTAAGAACAGTTCGGTACCATAAGCAGCGCACACAGCACCTCCAGACGCTCCGCTGATGTGGCGGTGGGTAGTAACGGCGACAGCTCGACCTCACAGACTGCAATGGACAATTAAAGAAAGTGGAATTGAGGAAACAGGTCGAACAAACACAGAACATCAGACACAGCTCATCGGGAGTGGGTTATTGGCCCACACTATGGCAACAACTGTTCCTACCACTACCTGCTAAGAGATATACCTGCCCTCCACACACGCGAGTACATACACCTACCATGAACAAGACATACCACTCCCTACTAAAATATCTACCTACTCCCCACAAACGCGAGTACTTACACCTACCATGAACAAGACATTTGTGTTGTGGATTGCCTGTCCTGTACAGCACACTGATCACCGGCCGAGACGGCGACACGGCCCATTCTTTGACCAAAATGGACTGGTAGCCAAATAAATATCGAGAGCGCAGCACCCGGATCCGGGAAAAAGGACCGTCTGGCCTGGAGAGAGAGAGAGAGAGAGAGATAGTGTGTGTGTGTATGTGTGTGAGTGTGTGTGTAAGTGTGCGAGAGTGTGTGTGTGTGAGTGTGAGTGTGTATGTATGTGTGTGTGTGTATGTGTACGTGAGTGTGAGTGAGTGTGAGTGAGTGAGTGAGTGTGAGTGAGTGTGAGTGTGTGAGAGTGTGAGAGTGTATGTGTGTGAGTGTGTGTGTATGTGCGCGAGTGTGGTGTGTATGTATGTATGTGTGTGTGTGAGTGTGTGAGTGTGAGTGAGTGTGAGTGTGAGTGTGAGTGAGTGTGAGTGTGAGTGTGAGTGTGAGTGAGTGTGAGTGTGTGTATGTGTTTTACAAATAGCACGATGTGCGGATCGGGTTAAGATCGAGTCCCATTAAAGATATCAAGAGGATATCAACGCAAACATAAAACTCGAACGGCATATGATTCATCCTGAACGAAACACGCTTTTCAGAATTACAATATAATATGACTTGACCATATGGCGAACAAACAGGACAGACTACACAGAACACCACAGCCAATCAACACCCAACGCACCTGTCTGTGGCCCTGTCCCATCGGATTAATTCGGGCCGTAGTCCACTGACCACGTACTGGTACTTGGAGGGCTTGGGCAGGGCATAGCGGTCGTCCGTTGTCAAGGTTACCGGGTTCAGCTTACTGGGACGAGTGGTGTGATGTAGTGATATAAACACAGGATAGGGGGGTTGGGATGCGCAGAGGAAATGAATCGATAACAACAAACATTTATTAAACGTAGGCAGACAATTACGAGGACTTTGTGGTGGATCAGAAGACGTTAACTAAACGTTTACAGACAATTAAGTGGACTATCTGGTACGTCAGATGACGTTAACTAAATGTAGGCAGACAATTAAGTGAACTATGTGGTGAATCAGAAGACGTTAACTAAACGTAGACAAACAAACCCAAAAACAACTGAGTGCTCTATCCTGGCTAGTGTGTGCGTGTATGCCTTTCTTTTTTACTCACCCACCCACACACCGTATATAGTCCACCGCCAGCTTTAGTACCGTGAAACAGTACTCGGTTTCTCCCTGCAATACCATGGGGTTAGCATAGGCCTCTATGAACGCCAAGCACGTGCTGATTCCGCGTACGTTCGCTTGTATGGTCACATACACCCACACGTCCAAGAAGTCGTCGCCACCTACAGCCTTGCCCGGATGGGCGCCCTCAATCTGGTGCAGGATGCGTGCGAAGACACAACAGGCAACACACGTGGATAGGGTGAGTGGAGAGTAGACGCACGCATAAACAACACACGGAGAAGCAACAAGCAACACACGTGTATGTGATGAGTAAGGAGGTTGCTTCAGATTGAGTCTAAGTTGACACCGCTCATGCTTACATGAGATATACACATATATACAGGCGTGCGAAGATGTGCGTATGTGCGCGCGCGTGTGTGTGTGTGTGTCTGCATAAAATTCTATATAACGTATCTACATCCTAATGGTACCGAACCTTACCGTCGTACAGATACTTTTGGCCGTAGCCAAGATGATATTTATCTTAGCCGTGGCTGTGACAGAGTAGTGTAGCATCCGCAGTTGGGATATTGCACCCAGAAATGGAATAGGACCGGTCACATGAATTGCCCTGTTTTTGATAATGTCCCCTTGGGAGAGATGACCTAGTTTCTCACACTGCTTCTCCGCCGCGCGATCTCTACCTGGTAGGACAGATAGGACAGATGGTTCAGATGAAGGGATGCGCGTGTATGGTATAGTATAGTGTATATATATACATACACACACACACACAAACATACATACAAACACACACATAAAG